TGTTGTTTGGCAGGTCCGGGCTGGGGATTCGAACCTGCCACCTTAGGTGTACGTGGCTGGCGCCTTAGCCAGTTGAGCTATAGGCGCCGAGCCTAAATAAAATTTTAAAACTAGTTGGGTGTTGGAGTGTGAACCTTTAGTCCCAGCTATTCAATAGGCTGAGATGGGAACTTGAACCCAGGAGTTCAAGTTATGAGCTATGATTGTGCCATTGTACCCCAGGCTTGGAAAGAGAGGAAGACTTTGTCTCTAAAAAACAAGTTTATTTTGGAGAATCTTACTGCTTTTAAAATCTGTTTTAGACCTGATTTAATGAGTGTTCTTCAATAAGACATTTAAAGGAAAATGAGTGGCCAGAGAACAGGGAGAACATAATCCTCCTAGGCTTGTCATTTCTGCAGTTATATTCACCTGTCCTTAACTGTCATACTGCCCCAACCCCACTGATATGTTTCGTTTCCATTATGATGATGTGGGTTCACAATTAGAACATTATACTAATAGCCAATGCAAGGTAGACACACCCTTTTCCTTCACTATACACTACACTAAAGAACAGTGTATAGTACAAAGTTATGGCTTTTTATTTGGGAGTAGCATAAGGCACAGCAAGTGAGGACTGCCTGGTCTCCATGACAATAGAAAGTCTCATAAACCTAAGTCCCTTGCCTGTCAGGGAGACTCTGGCTCAGGAGAAACATATAATATAACTTGCTGCAAAAAAACAAAAACAGGCAGCCTAGCTGCAGTGTGTAAGGATGGCTGGATGTACAGTTTCTAGTCAGTCTTTCTGGAAGTGCTTAGTGAGTGTATCGAGCAGCTCCTGCTTCTTCATCCCGCCCTTCAGCCCGTATGCCCTGCAGGCCTCCTTCAGCATCGGCACGGTGAACTTGCCCAGTGTGCCCTTGCTGACATGGGCCTTAAGCTCCTCTTCAGAAAACTCCACCTTGGGCCTTTTGCTTCCAGGACCTTCATCATCTGGGAAGAAAGGTCAAGAAGAAATGACTGGAAATACTACCAGAGGCATCCCAGTTACATAGCATGGGGGCCCTGATATGATTTGATGATGTGGGCAGCAAGTGACCATTTTCCATAAAGCTGTGGTGCTTATTACCTAGAACAGCACAGGAGAGGTGGGTATCTTGATAAGGTAGCTTCATTTAAGTATAAAATCAAAAATGTCTCATACCTTGGAGGGTGTGAATGCTGTGAGTTTACCCCAAACTGCTACTCACTCAGGGTAAACAAGCCATTCCTCATTCCTTAAAAACCTTTTACACCATGTAAATACTAAGGCACCATGGCATGTGAAAGAATGTGCAAGCTGAGTGAAACAAGTCACTAAACAGGTCACAGTGGTCCATCAACACACTACAGGTGTCCCTTCTGATGCAGAAGAAAGAAAAACTTGGCCACCAACTTAACCTCACAGCAACATGTCCTCAGCATGACCCAAATATGTCTTTACGTGACCAAAAACAGTCAAAAGGATTTCAACCTAAGCTAGAACTGTTCTGAAATGGTAAGAGCACACACATGCTGTCGTTTGAAATGTGTGAGCATAGGCTCGGCGCCTATAGCTCAACTGGCTAAGGCGCCAGCCACATACACCTAAGGTGGCGGGTTTGAATCCCCAGCCCAGACCCACCAAACAACAATGACAGCTGCAACCAAAAAATAGCCGGGCGTTGTGGCGGGCGCCTGTGGTCCCAGCTACTTGGGAGGCGGAGGCAAGAGACTCGCTTGAGCCCAGGAGTTGGAGGTTGCTGTGAGCTGTAATGCCACGGCACTCTGCCCAGGG